CAAAGGAGACTTTTCCTCAGGGAAGTCTTCCTTTTCCATTACTCGAGAGGCCCAGGTCAATGTCCGGATGGACTCTTTTGATGAGGACCTTGCACGGTGAGATGTATTCTTTCTTGATCCTTAGTGCTTTTGTGGCCTAAGTTGTATCTCCTAACCCCACTCACTGAGAACATTCTCTGTATTTCCCCTGCCATCTCAGTTTCTGTGCTGATACACTCATGTCAGTCTGTCTTCAGTGGAGAGTGTATGTCACTGAGTGATTATGTCCTGTATACTCCTGTGGGCAGTATCTGTGTGAGGTGGTGAAGTGTCTTCTCAGTTCTTAGTGACTGGCTTTCTTGGTTACTGGGTCCCCTATGGTTCTCTCTTACTCTCGGTTTATTGCCATGCCCCCTGACCCCCAAAAAGATTCTGTTTCTTTTTGTGTTTAAAATGTCTTTTGCCCATGAAGCCATCCAGGATGTACTTCTTTATTCTTAGCTGGGTCAACAGTCAATAGTCCAGGCCTCACCATCAAATAAGAATAGCAGTTTTAGAGTTGAGGGAGGCAGATGCATCCCCATCCCCAGCTTTAGGAAAGAGTGGTAAGGCCTAGTTGACTATTTTTCCCTTGGTGTAACTACCCAGCTGGTTGGACGTCTCCTTGAGCAGTGTTCCAGCCACATCTCATTCCTCCTTCATGCTGTCACATCCCTGAATGGCTTTAGCTTTCCAAGCTGGTTGACTATACCTTCTCATTTGTCATGTTAAAACCAGCAGTAACCTCAAAAACAATCATTGAGGTTTAACACTTCACTGTACTTGAAGATTCCCAATGAAGAAAGGGAAGAGAGATTTTGGATACCTTTTTCTATAGTTAGGACATATTGAGGTTACTTTGAACTTTGGTAGGAAGAGAAAAAGGAGCTTCGTGGATATATTTAAAACTCTTTGGGAAAAAAAAACTATCTTTATGGTTTAAATGTTCTTGTTACATTTGGTCTTCTCTTGTTTCTTTTACAGACCCAGTGGCTTATTGGCTCAGGAACGCAAACTTTGTCGGGATCTAGTCCATAGCAACAAAAAGGAACAGGAATTTCGTTCCATTTTCCAGCACA